AAAAAAGGGGGGGGGGGGGGGGGGGGGGGGGAGGGGGACAAAAGACAAAAAAAAACTCTGTTACTTTAGTAAAGAAAAGTGGGAAAAATACAAGAGAGTCAAGAGAAAAGCCCAAAGTTCTGTTTACTAACGGGCTCAGCCCATTAACTAAGCCCACTCAATTTTAACCCAAAATTGCTTGAGATTCACCATTTTTACGACGTCGTTTAGGTCCTTGAACTCTATTTATAACTACCTGTTCGCCCAAGCAGAACTGTAGAGAGAGAAAGAGGAGAGAGAAATGGCGGCAGCAGCGTTCAGATATATAGTGCAGCTACACAAGTATGCCAAAAGCGGCTAGATTTTACTCGGAAGGATTGGGATTAACCATTAATGTCTGCACTATCCGGTGGGCCGAGCTCCATTCCGGCCCGCTCAAGCTGGGCCTCTTGCACTCCCCCATGTCTGTTTCGACTCTTTTCTGGTTTCATTGTCTTTTTCTAGGATTTTACTCATTTCTATCTAGAAATTTTACCCAATTTTTATTTTTTTCATATAGTTTATGAACATTGAAAGTAAGATTTCAATGTATACATGTAGTTGAGCTCTTAGACGAGATTAAGGTAAAAGACCCGGCTTCAAATCTATCTGCAACTCATGAATTAAAAAAAATTAAGGAAAAGTAATACCGAGATTCTGGATTGTTTCTTAAACTTGCATTTATAACTAGCGATGCCCACAGATGTTTTCCCCAAAAAAATTAAGTCGTTTTAAATTAATGGCCAAATGGAATGGATGGGTGATGAGAATTCTTATACTGTGATGAGTTCAACTCGCTAAAGGTGAAAGGATTACGCATTTCCGAGTTCTATCGGGTGAAATTGCGTTACTCTTGCATTTTCAGCCAATTCTCAAATTTTATAAGGTGCAAGTGCAAGTGCAAGTGCAAAAGGTTGTTATTTATGCAAAAAGTTGAATTATAAGAGTATGATTTTTAGTGCAATTTACTAGGAGCATGCTCATAGCTTAATGTTTAAGGATATGATTCTTGTAGAAATCTTTTATTCAAATTATTATATAAATTTTGCTAGGTAAGTAGGTGATTCTGTTTTAATGAAGGTACTGGTTTAAGTCTCCGAATTTACTTGACGGCATGCTCATAGTTCACCAACATCCTATTTTTAATGTAGTGGGTGTTTAGATGGTTCAACGTGCCACTCTTAACACTATCAATGCTCTTTCTGTTCTATGTTTGTTATCTGATATAAATATTGAGGTCTCTTGGATAAAGTCCAGAGGATGAAGCATTTCTGATCAAATTATGAGACCGCTTTCCACGTTTATTTTGAATGTTGCTCTGCAATGTTCTAGTAGTCATGACTAATTCTGCTGTGCATAGTAGAGTAATGTTATTTGTCGCATATTTAGACTTCTTTTTTCCATTAAAAGTTGTAGGCGGAATTGAGATGGCTCTTGTAGACTTTAGTATCTGGTACTTTTACGGTTAGATTTTGGTTGAAGAGATTTGATGATCTTGCTATCTTGGGAGTCTCTCTCATGAGGAGCAGTGGGTGGCACCAGTGTGAACCTTCTCCTGTCTCAGATTCTTATCTTAGATATTGTTAGTCTGGAAGAAAACTTATGACATCTATGGCTTTGTACTAAGCCACATCAAAAATTAACAACCAATAATTTATGAATCATATCAATATGTGAAGCTTTAATTTTATGTTAACAGGTTCTGTAGTTTCTCAGATTGCATATTTGCTTCATGAGAGAGGAATAAAACATTTACAGCTGTTTTTCTTCTGAGCTGTGTTACACTCATCAGTTACACGTGCTATAGAGACAGTGCTTCTGACTCTTCTCCATCTATGCTAGAAGGTTTACGTATATGTTAGTAAGTAAATTTTAAAATAAATAACCTTTTGTTGGTGTGGTGAAAGTCAGAAGGCAACGAAAGAAGACCTGACAGTCAAAATATGTAATTCTTTTATTTGTAGTAAGAATGTAATTTATCCAAACAGATATGGGAACATTTAAGTATTTTCAGTAGCTTTTAAGCTTAGCCAAACATGCTTTATCTTCATTTATATTTGCAGGATTTGATTGATCCCATCTTTTTCTTTCTTCAAGGGTGACTGTCATTTTTATTTTCTTTTTCTTGTTTATTCAGTGACTATGTTGGGCAAAAAGGATCCTCGTCACTCCTATCCTTTACAGTGACTGATATCAATAGTACGGTGACAAAACTGATGGCTTTGGGTGCAGAGATGGATGGTCCAATCAAATACGAGGTCCATGGAAAGGTATCTCTCAAGCAATAAAATTGTAGATTTTTGGAATCACTTTTTACATTAGAATCCAAATATGTTTGGCTAGTTATTTTTTTCTTTTGCTAAGCTTAAAAATAAGTAAAGGTTACTTCTTGTTCTCAAACATATCTGGACAACTAACATGTTTTTACTTTCGAGTAAAACTAATATCTTAAAGCTTGCTTATTTACTTGTAAGTTGACTTTTTTAAGCTTAGCCAAACATGATCAATGGGCAAAGATGTCACATATAGGTCCTGCTAACACTAAATTCATAATCACAGATTACTCGGAAAGATTTGTGTTTCCATTCCTCTGTGTCCAAATTATGAAAACTTGATCTTGATTCTTGTCATGGCTTTTACCAGGTTGTGGCCATGAGGTGTGTTGATGGCCATGTCGTAGGTCTCTACGAGCCTGCTTAGAAGTTGCCAAGAAGAGCATGTATGATTACAAGAATTTGGAACGTTTACCTCTTTTAAATATGCCTGCTAAAGGACGAGATTATTTCACAGAAGTAGGGCACACATCAAAAAACCCTGTATACTGTTCAAAATTTGAAATTTCGAGGCAGTGAGAGGAATATGTCCAGGATGCATGAGCTGTGCTATTTTGAAGATTCAAGGGATCATGATTGTTAAGTGAAGTTCCTTGTGAGGTAAAGTTTTGCACAACATGATTTATACCAATCTGGTCATAATTTGTTGTGGATATTTTCAGCTCATAAGAAAACGTTGGTCTAAAAACACTTTTGTAGAATCGACAAGTACTATACACTTTTGCATCACTCATTTATCCCTATTTATTAATCCTGCCCGTACGATAAAATTTGTACAATAACTTGGGACGAGGGGGTATCATCGGCATGGGGTGCATCGTAGTGTGATTTTTACTTTAATAAAGTTTACTTCTGAGTCTACTATGATATATAATCAACCGATGTAAATGCAGTCTGGACCCAATTCTAATAGGTTAGGCATTATTTGGTCTCTATAATGTAATTAACAATAAATAAATCTGATATAAATATCTTATTATATAGAGGAATAAGGCTAGTGTGGGTGGGGTATATTGTTAACCTTTTCTACTTGATTTGGTCAAAATATAACACCTTCATCTTTAGGAGGTAGGCAATTTTTGACTGATCGAATTCTATCCTGATTTTTGTGGGCCTATCATTGGCAGCAGGGCTGACATGGACAATATTTGTTAAATAATGATTATTTGTCATCACGATGACAGATAATCATTCTATTTTACAAGAATAATTCTCCCTGTCCCGGGGACAGGAAGAAAGACAAGGGCACCACATGGTGCCCCCCTATTGGAGGGGAGCCGGCCAGGGGCAGGCGCCCCTGTCCCTGACCCTGTCCCCAACTCGGGACAGGGAGCAGGGCTCATTTTACAATACATATGATGTTGGAAATTGCTTCCGTTGCACCTCAAAATGGCCTCTAATCTCTAGCAGTTAAGAACTCAACAAATATTATAATAGATAAAACAAAAGAGATCCAACTATATTTGGTCCTATATTAACAAACTAATCTAATTTGCTCGTCATTTTGGACCTATTTTCGTGGTTCAGGATTATAAGACGACCAAAAGCTTTTGAAGAACTAATGAGTATGGTACACACGTTGTACTAGATTTTCCTACAAGGATATCCCTCGTTTGGCTCCGATTTTTTGGAAATGAAAATGGGTGAAATAATTTTTTTTGAAAAATGGGTGGTTGAAAAAGAAGGAAATTTTTTTGATTCATATATAATATTATTTTATGGAAGATTGCGAATTACAAATAGGAGAGAGAAAAATGGAATGTAGGGGTTCACTATTCTATGGTTGATTGGTTTAGTGCAATATAAGATGTTAAGAAAGACAATGGAGAGGGCAGTGTGGATTCAAAATTCCTTACTTATTGTAATATTTAATTAAATAAATCTTTAATGCAATTTAAATTGAAAGCATAAATTTTAATATTAAATGTAATAAAATAAAAGGAATTGGGGCGGATTCAAGAAATTCGGGAGAGAATTTCAGTCTCATTTGTATCAAGACAATGCATTTCGAGAACATAAATTTTGCCATATCCGTGTAGAGAACTAACTCAAAAGTCCATCTTTATTAAACTCTAATGTGGATATGCTTTGATTCGATTTTGTTTTAAAGATAATCGAATCGAATTAAAAATTATTTTTAGTGTTTTGTAAATGAAACTCAGGTCCAACTTTACGCCGCTAAACATCTTAGTGTCCCTACATTACATGGAACCATAAATAGTTTTTGACACGTGTGATTTTTTAAACATACAAAATAATGTCTATTAATCCTCCATAAATAAATTTATTATAAATAAAATTACTTTAACTATCATTTTTAAATTTCTCACCCACTTGAGTGACCGTGGTTGAAATCTGTTCAGATATAATTACAATTCACATAATCGCAACAAATTATTACAGGCATTTATGGATGCAACACAACCCAGAAATTTAGTAATTTGACCAACTCAATCCAAACTCTAGGGTTTGTCTGTTTAGTTGAATCATCAAGGGACTACGAGTGGCTAGAGAGAGAAAATGAGGCATGCGGGTCTGGATCTATTTGATCCGAGGACGGCCGTGATGGACTCCGACTGCAACCTTTCACCGTCAAACGGACGTGAACAGGAGGATTTCGGGTTCGCGTTCAATGACAGCAACTTCTCGGACCGAGTCCTCCGAATTGAGATCATGCCCGATTCCCCAGACACCCCACCCGACTCGGAGGGTTGCCAAACCCTGGCTGATTGGACGACCCGCAGGAGCAAGCGCCGCCGTGAAGATATCGTCGAGAAGGAAAATGGTAAGTCCACCTTGCAGTCAAATATGTGACCATTGACAATTTTGGTTATTTGGTAATTGTTTCTTCTTGTGATAGTTTTTGATGTACGTGTTACTGTTTATGTGTTGGATTGGATTGGAAAAAAATTAAATAAAATCTTGTCAATTACGTTTCTTTTGAAAGTAGAGCTAGATAAAAAGAAAACATAATTCAAAGGAATATAGCTGAGGATATAAGAAATTTCTTAACTTGTTCTTTGCTTGGTGAATTATCAAGTAAAATAAATATATGAAATCGAAGTGTAGTTAATTGGGCTTGGCTCGCTGAGAAGTGAGTCGATCATTGGACTCGGATTCTGAAGTTAGCTAAAAAGGAACACCCTGCTTGGAAAACCTAATTTTAGACTGTTTCCCTGTCTATATTGCCAGTGTGTAGATACCAGTCATGTAGTTGCAATTTAGGGAAAATAAGTGGGAAATTTTGATTAAATAAATATAATTCTCAACTTTTTGTCTATGGGTTTTCCCATATTTGAACTTTTTCAGTATGATGGTGCATCAAAATAATGTGTAGTTAGGCTGCCTTGATTGACAGTTTGGATTTTGTTAAAAAAGTGAACTTTCCATTTCTAATTCCAATTTCAATACCTTGTTCCATGCCACCAAGTTTGTCACTGGGTTTGCTTTGTTTTCTTTTCTTTTTCCTTGACTTCTTTTCTCAGTGTTTATCATATCGCAACATTAACCTCATTTTTGTTTTTTATTAAGAAATTGTGAGAAGCTATGCTTCTCCTAAAACTATCCTTTTTTGGTTTGGATTTAACCCTAGTTTGTTGCTCCTATAGAAGTTATGGATTGGAATTTAACTATCTTTTCCAGATATTATGTTGCATGGATGCTTCATTGCTGCAATTTTGCATAGTTTTTAAAACCTCTTCTCATTCTTATGCTGGTATGGGTTGTGCTGATGTTAATCAGACATGTGCCACTCGTTTGCAGCTTTGGATATCAACGTTTGCCCAGAGGAGCAGACTCTTGATTGTCAGCAGCCTGATATTGAAGTTTGTGTGGATGACGACAATCACGACGAAGAAGAAATTCCAATGATCAAAGGATTGCCTCCAGGTATTAAAAGAAAAAGATTTATCATCACTTTCCTACTCATCTTTGGGCATTATCTTTATAACAGGTCTAAGAATCCACACAGTTCTTTTAGTAGCTCTGGAGAAACTGACAAACTTTATTAGGTTTTGAAAGTCTAGATTTAAAATTGGAAGACATTTGAAAATAAAAACCTTCAATGTTCTGTTTCTCAATGTCATCCTATATGTTCGATGACATCAAGATGGAAGACTCAGAAGATTTACTCTGTGTTTTAGATACCAGAGGTTTACTTTTGTGCACGGGAGATTTATTGCCAATGGGCTGTGGGATCAAGGGGTTTGCTTGGTAATGATTATATGCGAATAGATTACCTATGAAGAATGTTATAATTTGGGGACTGCAGATAAAACAAGAGCCAGTAGCTGGTCAGAGATTACTTTGTTGAAATTAAAAGTTCTCTAGTGAAGAAAAAATTAAGTAATATTCCACAGTTAGTGGATATATAGTAACCTAAATAGTTGGAAAATGAAGAATCAAGTATATATTTATGCCAATAACTGGCAAAAATTTTATTTGCATATTTCCATCATAGTTATTTTATACTTCAACATATTTTGATGTGCACAATCTGGGATCCACATATGGAGTGCCTGTATCTTTCTTTACAAAAATCTGTCTCCTCAAAATTAAAGCTACCAAATTGCTGCTGCAGGAGATGAAGATGCAAGTAGTGATGATTCAAATTGGTCTGACGATATGTCAAGAGTTCTAAGAGTTAAAACATTACATATTAGCTCTCCAATTTTAGCGGCAAAGAGTCCATTCTTCTTTAAGGTAATTTGAGAATTTCTATTGTTTGTCTCTCCAGGTAGATTTTGTATGAATTTCTTGCTCCTTTCCGTGCAGCTATTCTCAAATGGAATGATGGAGTCAGAGCAGAGACATGTAACCCTAAGAATTAATGCCTCTGGTGCGTAGCACGTTGCACTAACTTGTGTTTTTCCAGCTCTGCTTCTCAATCTCTTATTATTTTTTTTTAATCCTCTTCTCTTCGAGGAAGTAATTGTGGCTAATTTTATTTGTTTGTAATCTCAAATTCCCAAATTTTGCTAATCATTTGTAGTCAGTTGCATTGTGGAAAGAAACCCAGCAAATATTTCTTTCATACATTTTATGGTCGTGATGAATGTTTAGGTCATGTTCGCTTCAATATCTTTTAGGGTCCGTTTGATTGCAAAGATGGAATTTGGGTGGAAAGAAATCGAATTCCAGGAAATTGAATGTCTAGAAATTATTTTCCTGAAAATTGTAAATTATTGTGTTTGATTGGTATAATTTTCCACGTGGAAAATATTGAAATGAAAGTATTTTTTGGTGTTCGTTTGACTTTATTTTATATGTAAATTGTCAATTTAAGGGATATCTTTTTTTACCATCATAAAAAATAATAATAATAATAATAATAAAATAAAATAAAATTACATCAGCCTGGAAAATGAATTCCTCAAAAACCAAGAAATGGGGCGCGTCAATTCCAACCCAAGAAAATGTTTTTCCTAGAAAATTTAGGAAATCAAACATGCAAAAGTTGGAAAATGGGGATCAAATTCCATTTTCCGTGGAAAAGCACAACCAATCAAACAGGGCCTTAGCTTTTTCTTCTAGTAAATACCTTCGACTTTCTTTTAGTCCAAACTCTTTTTTCCGTGTTTGGGTCGTTGTTTCTGCGACATTGTCACTTATGCATTATTAATTGCATTTTGCATAGTGTAATTGTACATATAGCTCCCATCCGTACATAGCTTGTGTATAGGTTGCAATTCTTTCCTCTTCAATTTCCGTTTTATTCTTTCATCACAACTTTTCTCTTCGGTGTTCTATTTTCTACTAGACAAATATTTTATTATCTTACTATGTGGATTACGACTAATACTACATTTTTTTTTATTTTTTGTTTTTTGGAACAGAGGAAGCTGCCCTGATGGAGCTCCTGAATTTTATGTATAGTAATACTTTAACTATAGCTACAGCTCCTGCTTTACTGGATGTACTTATGGCTGCTGATAAATTTCAAGTTGCTTCGTGCATGAGATATTGTAGCCGCTTACTGCGGAACTTGCCCATGACCCCAGAATCTGCATTGTTATATCTGGATCTTCCTTCTAGTGTCCTAATGGCTGATGCGGTGCAACCATTAACTGATGCAGCAAAACAGTTCTTAGCTGATCGTTATAAAGATATATCAAAGTATGTTACTTTGTTCTTCCTTGGTTTACAGAAATGTGAAAGTAAAAGAACTTTATTACCTAATTTTGTGTACTTATTATGTGGAAGACATTTTTCCCATAGTTATCAGCCATGTCACACCGAACACGGACACAACAATACGTTATTTTTAAAAACCTTAGGACTTGAATGCATCAGAGACATGTTACTTTAAATTCTTTAAAATTGTAGATTTATATATTCCATACCATACTTTATCTTTTACTAAAATCAATTATTTTCTTATTTTTTATTTTTGTACATGAAATCTTTTAAATCGAATGTTTACCTATTTGTTATATTAAAATAACTTTAAGTTAAACTATATATTACACTTTCATGGAAGGAAAATACATATAGTACTTGTCTTTAAATGAATTTATTATTTATTTTGCATGTCATTATTTTCCTTGTAGTAGAGGCATAATATTGATATCTTTGATACTATAAGCATAGCTTAATACTTTGATAAGTTCTTCGAGTAGAAAGTGATGGAAACTCTTATGATAGTTAATTCATACTTAAACCTAGGGAAGTATTTCCTCTTTGTAGCTGATTGGTGGAATATTCCAACATTAAAATGTATTACTTTCCACCTAGAGTCAGAGTTATTCATAGTTATGTGTTAAAAGTGGGAATATTAAGCACTTAGAAGGTTTGCCTGGTAAAATGCTGGACATTATACCCACAAGGTTTTGGGATCTAAACTTCCTGAGCTTGTTTTGGGTCTTAAATGAAAAAAACCAGCTGGTTTAATTGAACTGTGTCTCCAGATTTCTTAAAAATGGGCAGTTTTGACTGCTTGGAGTGGTTCAATTGCAAAAATATCTAAATAAAGCAACCAGTCTGGCCCACAAGCCACTCCGGTCTCTGCTTTTTTCTCCAAATTTTTTGGATTGATTTATCACTCATCTTATCCTTTTCTTCTCGTGCTTGATGCACTATATATATATATAGTGCCCTTTGCTTTTGTCTCTCTGTTATCTTACTTGCATAGGTGAAAAACAATTTTGCTTTTATATCTCATGAGCAAAGTTACTAATTTAATTATCATTTTAGTTTATTAAACCAGTATTCCAATCCTTCCATAGCATTTGATGCTTATTTATCAGTATATATTACTGCGGGCAGGTATCAAGAGGAGATTATGAATCTTCCTCTTGCTGGAATTGAGGCAATTTTGTCTAGTGACGACCTCCAGGTGGCATCAGAGGATGCAGTGTATGATTTTGCATTGAAGTGGACTAGGTCGCATTATCAAAAGCTGGAGGAGAGGCGGGAGATCCTTGGTACTCATTTAGGTCAATACATACGTTTTCCTTACATGACTCCTCGGAAATTGAAGAAGGTTCTTACATGCAATGACTTTGATCATGAATTTGCAACCAAAGCTGTCCTTGAAGCCCTATTTTTCAAGACTGAGCCCCCACATCGCCAACGACTTCATTCCTTGGAGGATTTGACCTCTACAAACCATCGCTATGTGGAACGGGCCTACAAGTATCGGCCCATTAAGGTGGTTGAGTTTGAACTTCCACACCAACAGTGTGTGGTCTACTTGGATCTCAAGCGGGAGGAATGTGCCAATTTGTTCCCATCTGGACGGGTGTATTCTCAGGCTTTCCACTTAGGTGGACAAGGGTTTTTCCTCTCCGCGCATTGCAATATGGATCAACAAAGCTCTTTCCATTGTTTTGGTCTTTTCCTCGGGATGCAAGAAAAGGGTTCCGTGACATTTTCCGTTGACTATGAATTTGCTGCCAGATCTAAACCCACAGAGGAGTTCATTAGCAAATACAAGGGCAATTACACTTTCACAGGGGGGAAGGCAGTTGGATATCGCAATTTATTTAGCATTCCATGGACTTCTTTCATGGCTGACGACAGTCTTTACTTTATCAATGGCATACTCCACCTCAGGGCCGAGCTTACCATCAGGTGCTAGAGCTAACTTTGTAGTTTACATTATGTTGAGATTATCAGATGTCCTGCTTAAATATCGAAGCTGCATTTTGTGTGTTCTGTGTAATGAATCAGAAGACGTGTGACTCGCATGTAATTGATACATTGAGATTATGAAAATGCTGCTGTAATGAAATCTCAAAATTATAATGGATGTATGTTTTGTTTGTCGAAGAGTACTCGGAGTTTGTCTATTTATTATTCTTCGGAATTGAAGCTCGAAAATTTCAGAAAAAAAATAAAGATATATTGAGTTTTTCATAACTTGCAGCCTGCAAGAATAGGGTACGTTTGCAAAATTGGTCCTGACTCCTCTAGTTGGAATGAAGTATAGTGGTTAAGAGATAGCATTAAAGGGGAAAATAATGATACTGATGCTTCTTGGTTCGACTTTATTATTGATGTGTAAGTGTAACTAGGTTTTCAAATGTTATGATCGAAACTTGACTATGAGTTTATTCAACTTCGGTTCGAATTTAAATGTATTCTTGGAGTTATAAATGTTGTTTAGTTTGTATGCTTCAATATGTTAAGGCTTTAGTTGAAAAGCATGTTGTTGCAATAGTATTTGTAAACGAAAGTATCTTATATATATATATAATTTGCCAAAAAAATTTACGAAGGTCAAGATTAATTTTTAGTAAATTTTGATAAAAATTAATGAAATATGTGGTCAAAAGTTATAAAACCCATTAAATATATGGTTAAGATTAGATTCGTTTGAGCCCCATTAATTTGAAGTAATGTATTAAGAAATAGTGATTAATGAGAATGTGTGGTTAAAGAAGAAGAAATTTTTAGTTTGTGTATAATATTATTTTAATGAAAAATGTGTAGTTAAAACTGACTATTGTAAAAAAAATAATAGACAAGAATGTAAAAGATTGGAGCTCAAACAAGGTCTTAATTGTTAACTTCAATTTAAATTTTAGTCACTATCAAACGGGCTAATTGACCCACTATTTTTTCCCTATTGGTATGAATTGCCCAAAAATTTCACCCAAACAAAAAATAAAAATATAAAAATAAATATTCCAAATAGGGAAAAAGTCCATTCAGGCCCAATTGAGCCCATAACTCAAAGCCCTCTCTCTCTCTCTCTCTCTCTCTCTCTCTCTCTCTCTCTCAAGGTCTTAATTGTTAACTTCAATTTAAATTTTAGTCACTATCAAACGGGCTAATTGACCCACTATTTTTTCCCTATTGGTATAAATTGCCCAAAAATTTCACCCAAACAAAAAATAAAAATATAAAAATAAATATTCCAAATAGGGAAAAAGTCCATTCAGGCCCAATTGAGCCCATAACTCAAAGCCCTCTCTCTCTCTCTCTCTCTCTCTCTCTCTCACACACACACAAAAGAGTTAATTCTTTCATTACACATTGAACTTTGCGTATCGTCATATTTTACTCACTGTAAATTGCACTTCATCCATTAGCCACAAAATTACCATTACCTGAGAAGCTTGCGTGGCTTGATGGAATTTGAGGTGGCACGTTGAGGGAGTTAAACTTACCAAATAAGCACAACTTAAGTTGCTTCCGTTACACATTGAATTTTTTTCATTGTCGCATTTTACTCATTATACTGTAAATTGCTTTCACATGGTCATTGAACTTGTACAAGTTACACACTATTTATCACCCATGAAGTTATCATTCCTTCTTTTCGATTCACAAAGTATAATCTTATATCAGATGCTAAATTCCTAAAGTCTGCAGATTGCTTAATTATAAGGAATGACATGCAATTGATTATTTAGATTACATCCTCAACCAGAGAATTTAACAACTAATATATCAATTAATTCAGTAATTAAATTAATCTCAATAAGCATTGAAGACGGGCTTTTGAAGTCAAATCCAAAATTAACGTGAATTTTTAAGGATTTAAATGATCTACAGCTTATTTAACCCCGTTTGACGATTATAATTTTGAGAAAAAAGAGTTTTGGATGATGATTCATAGGAGAATGTATTCTTAAAAAGTAGGAAAAAACTTTGCGTTTACATGTAAAATATTTTATTGTATGAATGCATGGTTAAAAAAAAGTACGTAAAAAAAAATTAAAAAAGAGAGTTTTAAAAGTATGGTTGTCAAACAGGTTCTTAGGTCGGCTGTGCTTTGAAATTATAATCAAATTCAATCCAAAGTGACCTGGTTTATTTTGGAAATTAAATTCAGTGCTTTGCTAATCATTTGGATCCTCGAAAAATTCATGTTGATATACGTGATCATTGATGAATTCAGTTATGATACATGTAATGAAGATATCTTTTATCCTATATTTATAAAACCAATGGACAAGATTATTAAAAAATGCTTTTGATCATGATAACAAAGGTTTTGAGCTCATAAGATTATGCTCATTTATAAGATAAGATACATGGTCCAAGTAAGAGATTGTTGAAAAAATAATTCGTATTGTGAGTCTACATATGTAATTAAGTGTGTACTAAATGTTATCTTAAGGTTAAGCTCATTCAAAGTTATTGTATTTTATGTTAGAGAAATTACACTGATATAAGTGCATACTTTTCATTCTACAACATATCTATATATACGCATAAAACGAACAAACCTTCTACTTACCAAAATATTCGATAAAATTTGGCAAGCGTAAAGAATCGTTGATAAGTAATAGATTTAGTGAGTTAAAAGTATCGTTCCATAGAAAAAAAAATTTAATTCAAATTTACTATTTACATATGAAATTCGAATTATATAACACGAGATATTTTGGTGTGACTTATTCTAAATTAATCTAAGAAAGCTATAAAATTTTGGTTTTTATGAACTTATATATGATTGTATTGGAATTGGATTGTGAATTTGCCTATTGCTATTTATTTAAATTCTTAATTATACAATTTAATCATATTCATGCATTCTTAAAAACCGATTAAGCTGATGTATTCAAAACTTTTTTTAAGATAAATTAACTCTATTCTAATTATGACCCAAGTATATTCTTAGCCTAAATTCAATGATTAGAACACATTAAATTTCAAATATCTATAGATTGCACACGTGATAATGTTATTCCTAAGTAACATTTATTGCACATATGCTAATTTTGTTGTGTTCTAAACTTATTGTGAATATCTCAACACCACAACAAGCAATTAATTATATAATTGGTGATCAAGTAATCAATACAATGTGTATGCAAAATTAATCAAGAACGGCAAGAAATAAACTAAATTGATAATATGGTTCATGTTCATCCAATACAGAAAGGGGTCTAACCTAGCATTCTTTTTAATAAATTATAAAAAGTATAATGAAAAATCATCACTCATATCATGAAATAATGCAAGAAATCTTGATATTCAATTCCAAGGTTGAATTCTTCAAAATCTTGATGTAATTGGTTTTAATTCCTTGATAGGGTTTGATCTTCTCTCTCAAAAGAGATGAATTTGATATATTATTGTGTATGAAGAGGTAGTAGAAGTTCACCCAATGTGTACCCCTTGTTTTGTATCTATAAGAGTAAAAAAAAAAAATAGGTCAAAATTGCTTCCAATTTGGGTTCGAAAAGAGTTTAAATAATGAAAGAAAACTGCCGATTCATCTGCGGTAATAGCCCACGTGTGCACATGCATAACTACAATGTGTGTTCCGTTGAGTTAAATGGCTCTAGAGTCATGAAAATTAATGTATTGCGTGCACCAAAATGGCCTTCACGCGCCCAGGTTCAAATCGTTTTGTTTCTGCACAGTTTTCATTAACTTAGTCATAACTTTCTTTCTCAATATTCGATTGAGATAATTCGAAGTGCGTTAAAAAGATAACTCAAATGGATACAATTATTGTAAAGCTAACAATTTTCCAATTCGAACATTTGCTATGCTAAAAAATGAGTTTCAATCTAAGGTTGAAAATTTGAGCCGAAATAGGAGTAAAGGAAGGGATCACATATTGAAAATTCTAAATTTGAATAGAAGAGACTGTCGGAGCCACGGATAGGACTTTGTTATGGCCAACAACGAAAAATCGAAAAATCTCTCCCCAAGCATCTTTATTAGTTCGGCATTTGGCTCATATATTACGAGTTCGAGAAACCTCCTCAATATGAGGGATCCCTCAAAATCAAAATGGAGAATGGCAGGTAGGACTTCCGCAAGAGTCTCCCCCTTATCCCAGTGGGGGATTTTCCTATTTGGCCTATTACTATTCTTTTTTTATGAAAAAATCTATATTGCCTTTAATGAAATGATTCTTTCTATATTGCAATTTATATCTCAAACTATATTCTATTTTGAATTTTTTAATATAATTTCTTTCTATGATCTAATAAATTGGAAGAATCTATAACATACTGTTCACATTTATTATTTAAAATATTATATTCTTAAGAAGATGTATCCATATTTTCTAATTGAGAATAAATATCTTTTATTTTTTCTAACATTTTTTCTAATAAATTATCTAATCATTTAATTGTATATTCTGGTATTTAATCATACAAATAATTATCAAATCATGCAATTAATCTCTTTGAATCTCTAAGATCTAAAAAAATTCATTCTAATTTTAGCAAAAATTAATAGTTTTACCTTAGGTTTGATCTGGATCTTGATTCTTAGAACTGAATAACCTTTGAACTCTGAATATGTAAACTGCTTCCTTCAACGGCTTCCTACCTTCACGAAACCTTTACAATTTCAGCTTCTTGCTCTCACTGTATCAATTCTAAATAATAAAATTCTAGACTTCTGTTAAAGAAAAACTCTCTTTTTGCTAAAATAAGAAGAAAACTTTCTATTAGATCCTTCAAGAATATTTGGAAATAAAGATTTAGAAACTCATATTAATATCAAAATATTGGAATTTTATTTCTATCAGAACGTTTACAAGATTTCTATTTGGTATACAAGGATTTCCAGAAAAATTAGTTTTTCAAACTAAAGATGGTTTAAGAGTGGCTATTGATTACAATTCGAGATTTCAAGATAATTTATATCATTACAATGCCTTTATTTATACAAGTCTATGAGATTCTATTACATCATTGAGTACATCAGCAAAGGCACACTTACCTCTCTATTATTTTTCTCCTTGGGCCTACATCTTGACATGCTTTTTCAAATTTTTATCCAAAGAGCATCTTTCTCTATTATTGTCATTTATCTTCTATGTCTTTACATGCAGCTGTATTATTGTCCTCCA